TGAAAGAAAATGTCCTTTCGACCATATTGAATATCAATGAAGCATTCAATGTGTGATTCATTATTTCATATTAATGGCTACAAACGAATGAGCTACAAAATCGTCTTCGGCACTTGCAAATATTTTAAAGACCAAAAACTGCGCCAAAACTAAGCTTGTTTTTTTTGTTGGCATTTGTAACAATTTTTCTTGAACGCTTCAGATAACAAATTGACTTTCACTCCCTGGAGGCTACTGTAAAACTAAAAAAGAATCAGGAAAAAATTGAAAAAGAAGGGAAAACTTCCATATTTCGACCACCAATGTTGCTAATGGTTCTTGATAAGATTTAACGCCCCTTAAAGGGGGGGGGGTTTGTTCAGTCAAACCTAATCATTCAAAGTTTTTGAATTAAAGAGATTCTAGATTTCCTATTTTTGAAATGGTTCCTAAAATTATTTGTCTTACTCAAGGGGTGCTTGGGGAAATTTTTAACTTATGCTTCTTATTTTACACTTTTCCACATAGAATCAAAATTCCCCAACTGGCAATAAATCAATGGGTCGTCGGAGTCATTGTCCATTTTAAGAGAACCCTCTATTGAGCAAACACTCAATCTAGAAAAGGTCAAACACCTAAATTGACATGATCAAAGAAGGTATATTTAGTAAAAAAAATTGTTAGACACGCTTCTGAGAATTTCCACATAAATGCGCAAACATGCACGCCCCAAAGACGCATCTGAGAGCTTGCAAATAGAATCAATGTAATCGTCACGCCGCACAGCTTTTCCGAATTGTATTCTGTCAATTATAATTCGGTTAAGGCGAGGCTTTGTTTGGGCACCGTAGGCGGAGCCGCCGAGCGTCAGCAGCTTCTTGGACGAAGCTGAAGCAGACCGGGAAGAACTCAGTATTTTTTTTTCGATGTCCCCATTGGACAAGGAGTACACTTTTCATTGCACTTCAGCTATTGTTTCTATTAGGATGAGCCTCTTTCAGGCCACTTTAACAAAATTTTCTCTTGCATGTTATTTGCGCAATTTGGGGTGTCGTGATATTCGGAGTTCACCAATGTTCCAACCCACTCTTTAAAAGAAGAAACGATTCATCTTTTTTCCGATGAGTCCCTCAGGAACTGCCGACGACCTGACGAACAAGATTGTGCGTGGTGTTCGTCTCATTTTTGTTTCATAATTCTCCTCGATTCTTTTGCATCGTCACAAACAAAGATTAGCGATAGCGCTGAAGTTCGCCCACATTATTACTGGTTCTCCCCTCTCCCCCCCCCTTCCGACGGGAATCAAAAAAATGAGGCGAGCAATGAAATATTCAAATCGCAAATGAATCATGTTACCCTTTCGGCACTCCAATTACATTTTCAAAATGTGTCAAAAATCCGCCATTCTTTTTTTGACGCGTTGAAACTTTTTGACATGAGGCCACAGCTGACGCCAATAATAATAAAACAACGATTGTCATTGGTTTGAATGATAGTTTGTCTTTAGCTGAGCAGTTGTGAATGTTTGTGAAAGAAAACAAGTTGCAACGAAATTGTTACGTCGGTTGATAATTACCTTGTTTAATTTCAGTTTTTCTAATGGTGAAAAGCTAAGATAACCTCAAGCTTGTTGACCTTTTTAAAATGATGTTTTGCATTATGCGTAAACTGTTTTTCCAGCTTGGGTTGCTTAGGAGTCGATTCTTAAATTATATTGTGCAACAAGATAAAAACCCCAATAGCATTTATACGTTAAATAATTCTAGTTTAACAAAAACCATCAAGGAAGCAACGTTACCAAAAAAAGAAACAAAAATGAATTAAATCTCCTCATAGATTGAAAAGCATCAAAATTTGACGTAGTGGGGAGAACTTTGAAATATCCGTGTGAACTCCCTACTGGGTTATTTTCTTTGATTCTGATAATTGTAAAATGTTTTTAATAATATAAATGAGACCACGTGTCTCAAAGTAATAGTCTACCATACGAAACTTTGAGGTTTTTCATTGAAATCAATTTTTAGTAGCGCTTCCGCCCACCTACTCAGAAAAACATGAGGCTGCTTTCCTTGGTTCTTTAAATTTTAATTGTTGGCCTCTACTGAAGCCATATTTTTCAATTTTCAATAATTCACAAAATGTATTTTTTTCGAGTGAAAGTCTAAAAGGGCATGTTGAAAAATGACGAGTATTGTTGTTCTGAGCAGCCACGTTTTAAATGGGGTGCCGCGATCATTTTAAAACCAAAATGCTCTCTTGGAGCAACGTTTGAGACTTCATTAATATCTTATTTGGGGCCTTGGGTCAATGTTTCGTTTCAACCAGGAAACAGAGAACAAGTGGGACCCGGGTGCGCGTTTCTGTGAGCATGTGTATGTTTTCGATAAACTCGGTTTCATTTCGAGTCACAAACGAACGCAGAGTTTCATTCGAGCTCGCAGGTCCCCGACAAGCGGCACGAGAAGGTTCAATTCGAATACCTTTCGCTAGACACATTTTCATTTTCTTCTACTTGCCCCCCCCCCCTCCCAAATAAAACAAAAAATCCTGCGGCTCCGGGACGAGGTTTCTCTTTGCCCAACACTAACTTCATTGGTACTACACACGAAATCAGTGTTTTCGATTTGCGGCAACCAATTCAGCCCGAAAAACACCAATATTAAAACGTTGTGTTCGTTCGCGGCATTTCGAGTGTTTCGTGTGCTGTTTTTTTTATTCGAGCCCCCGCTTCCATGCGCATTCGTACAAGAAAAAAAAATATAAAACGCAAACCACAAAATTCAGGTTCAATTTTGTTCTCAACGATCTACTAGAAATGCTTCGTTGTTGTCAATCTGTGGAATCCTGATTTTGACATCTCTTTTTTTCGCCATAAACGTGAGATTCCATCAATTCGAGCGCGTCACAATCTATGAAGTTTTAAGTGTTGGCTGTATAAATAGGTTTTTATTTCTGAAATTTTTCATTTCAAAATTTAGTTATTTGCTGATGTCTTCTCCTTCATCTCGGGGTCATAGACAAAATATGCGACGTTATTTCGTTTTGCCGGAGATTAAGGATCATCTTCAAACAACGTTTAACAAAGCAATTGTTGCATTTATTCATCCTTTTTTTTCCAACAGACATATTGGAATACACCTTTATATAAGTTTTCATTCTAACCAAATACGGTAGAAGGACGATCTAGGGAACCTCATGACCACGAGGTTGCTTTCCTCACGTATCTCATTTCAGAAAAAAAAAACACATTTTCCCGCTCTTTCATTTTCTTCCAACTCCTTTCTCATTGTCATAACTCATCTCTATCGTTTTTCAAAGGCGACGAAAAAAATCCGCCGTCACTCATATAATAAAGTGGTTTGTTTTTTTTTTGGTCGTCCCCAGCTCTTCCCTGAAATTACCTTCTCCAAAACTAAAGATATATGTACATGATGAGGCGAAAGCAAAATGCCATAAATTTCCAAAATTTTATGAGATTTATTTCTTTTTTTTTTGGTGAAAAGAAAACCAACGGCAAAACTCGTTGCTCTATTTGAGTCCTTGTGTATTTCTGTACAACGATTTGTTGAAAAATTTTGGGATGGAACAATGCTGAACAGCGGGTTAGAAAAACAAAACATGGAGTACTCTAATCAGATTCATTATTCAATTAACCTAGTGAATTGAATTTGCGATTCCTATCAGATAAGATCTGATTTTTGGTTGTTTTAATTCATTTTTCAACAAAATCCAACCCGAATAAAGAACCTAAATATAACCTGACCTAACCGCGTAGGTGGTTATGCAACTTTGTTTTGTTTGCTCTCATCTTATGCGGAATTACAATGAAACGCTGAGCCACGCCCATTTTTTTCGGAGGAAAAAAAATATTTGACACAATTGTCCGCTGACAGCATAGCCCATTATTTCAAAGTTTGAGGTTCATGGACCAAAAGCACTTTTCGCGAAATTTAACCAACTATATAAAAAAATTGTCGAGACCAACATAAACTGTCATTTTATATTCAGATGAGAATGACATTCTGAAAAATTGAGCTACCTTAAGTCATCTCGTGAACTTTTTCTTAAAAGATAACTTACTACCATAATCCTTGATGACTTTCGTACTTATCTTCTCAACGAAAAAAAAAAAAACAAAATTCGGAAGAAGTAAGCAGTTAATCACGAGGAGACACACGTGAAGTCCATTTCACTGATCCCACTTCGTCTTCAATACAAACTTTTTTTGCGTCTTCTAACCAACCCATTGTCGTCTTCAATCACTTTTTACTTCCTACTTTGTCTTTTCGGAGTCATTTTTTGTCTTGTGCTGAGGGTTTCGCTCAAGTCGTTCGTCACCATATCGCTGCTCGAAACGAACACATAACGCATCAACAGGGCACTTCTCAACAAATTTATTAGTTTAAAGCGTTTATTTGGTAGTCCCAATATTGCCATTTTACGTATCCTCCGGGCAAACTTCGAATTGGTTTTTCTTTCATATCCTTCGATATTGTGCTTTCATTTACTTTCCGCCCGTTCCGAATTGAATATTTGGGGGCGACAAAATTCAATTACCATAAAAATTCATAATCAAATTTTTGACAAAGTAATAATAATAATAAAAATAATATTGTAGTGCAGAGTTTTCTTTTGCAGAGCCATTTTTTTCGGCGATTCCGATCCATGAAATACAATATACATCAAGTTCCTTTTGATATTAATCTTCAGCTCTCGCATTTCCATCATCATCTCCTTTCATTTCTTGTATGTATTTATAAATTTGGCTTCCTATATTTTTCGACCAATATTTTTATAAAAGCTTCTTCTTCTTCTTCTTCTCAAAGTGGTCTCAGCACCATCATCACATTTTTTATTCGCATTTCGTCTTGGATCCATTTTGCCGAGGCCTCGTCCAACTTCCGCCTCCTTATCCATTCTTACTCCATTTCCAAACCTTAGCCCACCACCCCCCCCCCACCTCTATTCCATTAACCGATATTCTCGAAATACGGCAATAAAAACGAAATCTGGTTGCGACCATGTTGGCTGGAAACCGATTTGCAGAGCTGGCGCCATCGCTGATGATTGTGATATGGCGAGTGCTCGCTGGTATTATTCTGCCGCTTATACCGACACTTGCCGTGTTCGGAAACGCGCTCGTCATTATCGCAGTGTTCCGAGAACGTTCGTTGCAAACCGTCACAAACATGCTCATTGTGAGCCTTGCTGTTTCCGACTTGATGGTATGTTTTTATTGATTGCCACGTGCCAATTGAAGCCACTCAATTACAATATTTTATGAACACCGCCTTAATTTTTAATGATTATCAAAATCCTGCAAACAATCATCCGTTCAAAATATGAATTCCCAATACTTAAAAAATCACATTTATGTATGTATCTTGCCAATATGCATTTTAAAAAGTAAGGTCACATTTTGGTGACGCCTTAGCTTCATCATGAACGTGATTTATTGAAAACGGCGAAAATTAAAAGGAAATTTAAAATTGACGAAGTTCGCCGGCGAATTAATATTAAATAAACTCAGAACCTAAAAAGTGGGAAACGCAAGTTGTCGTATTATGCATTTTCTTTTTACGGGCTCTCTAGGGATCTTAAGACAAAAATATACTAGGATCTAGACTTTAAAAATTTTCGTTTTACTTCCTTCACTTAATCATTTAATCAAATTCCAGAGAATAAATTGCGGATTTAATTAAACCTCTAAAGATTAGGACAAAAGATTTAATTGCCAAATTTATCCGAAATTCATTTTTCTGAGTCATCCGAATTTTTTTCGAATTAGCATTCACATATTTTCGGGAAAAATCTATCAAAAGAAATTTTGCTTTTTTGACTGTATGTTACTAATTTGGTACCATAAAGTTTCTGTTCTCTTTTTGCAAAAAGGCCTATCAATTTGAAAGGCAGCAATTAGTTCTCTAACGAATTATGTTTTAATGAACTCTTGACTAATGAGAAGCTCATTTTTTCGTTTTTTTTTTCTTCAAATATTTTAACATCTTTCAAGTTTTCGGCACGCAAATAATCCAATAGCACACCGGTCCCATGGGAGATATTGCGGAACATATATAATAGAAAAAGCGGGTCACAAAGTATCTGAAAAAGGGAGACGAATGAAATTCATTTTTTTTCTTCCGTGAGCGCTTCCCACGCCACTTGGGAAGCTCTTTTTTTAGAAGGTCAAGAAGAAAGGGACACAGGCTTCCAAAAATTTCATCGAGCCTCAAATAACACTAATTCGATTTCGATTTTGCCCCGTTTTTGTTGGGCATGGCGAGCATTTGAAAAGATTTGCAGCAGCCACAAAAAAACAATGATTTGTGGTTGACGTGTGTGTGTGTGTGTGCAAAACGTCTTGATCCGAATTCCCTAAACGAATGTTCGATGCAAGACACTGATAAAATTGAGAAATTATGGATGAACTTGGGATTTGCAGAAAACGTTTGCAGTTTTCTTCTTGACTGACAAGGTTTCAAAGATGAATAGGAGATATTCTTTTTTTGCAGGTCGCGGTTGGTGTCATGTCTTTTGGTGTCTATTACGAGGTAATGTTTGACGATGAATTTGAGAATACCTGAACAGTGTCGTAAAGATACGGTTTATGATGCAGATGGAATAAAATGACATCATGGTCCATTTCTTTTGCAACCGCATTAAATTCAAAATGGCTTTTTGAACCATGAAATATTTTCTTAAATTCTCGCTTAATTTGTAGTTCAGAAAACCAAACAATCTTAATTTCAGTGGAATAATTTTAAATGGGAGATTGGCAGTTTCTTATGCCACGTTTATCAAGCTTTGGATGTTGCTTGCTCAACAGCCTCTATTCTTAATTTATTAGCTATTTCTCTTGACAGGTATTCTAACTATGAACCATGAAATTATTAAGCATCAATAATAATTTTGAAGGTACATAGCCATTGGGCATCCCATATCATACGCCCAATATGGCGCGCGTGGTGGCCGCGCCATGGTCTCAATTACTGTTGTTTGGGGTGTGAGCATCGCTGTTGCATTGCCACTGCTCCTTGGAGTCAATCCAATGGAGAATGAGGTTAGTTTTTAGTCTCAAACCGTTCTTTCAATTGCCACAATTCGCTTCGAATGGCGTCATTTTGATCGAAAACAATGGCGGGGCGACAAAAACGTTTTCTTTTTTTTCCGCGAGCACCGCACTTAAAATATTTAGTGTTTTTGTTGTTGAAGCCCCTCCAAAAACGTTTTGACTTCAAAATTACACCTCAATGCGTTTTTTTTTTCGTCTAGCGACCGCGTTTAATTGACGCAGTTGATGTTTCAATTCGCCAACGCGGCAAAACATTTTTCAATTTCACCCCGCACTACGTGCTCACCAAAATAGTGGGGGTGGTGCGGGTCCGCACAAACAAAATAACAGAGATCCATTCCGCTGAACCCGGATGCTGGTTGGCGCTGATTTGATTAGTCAACTGTGTATCAGAATGCAGCACGTGATATAAGTAGGAGCAATGCGAATAAAAAAACGCCTGGGTACTCCAATAATAATTACTCTCAATTTTGATTTCCGTCAATTCAATTCAATTCAACGAACTTTAGCGTGGTAAAAGTGTTCAAAGGTTAAGAATTTCTCCAGAAATTCAGGAACGACTAAAAGAAAAAAAAAATTGGAGGAGGGGAGAAGAACGTTATGAAATGTGATACGTATAGTATGGAGTTTGCTCGGAGTAGTAAGCTTCAAATTGCCAATAAGCCAGTTGGACAAACTCTGCAAAAAGCAATATCTTCAATCGGAACTTGTAGTCTCTTCCTGAAAAAATATTTCTTATGCAATTTTTTGCTGGAATCATAAGTTTTTTTGCTTTGCTGATTTTAATATCAAGAAACTTGCAAAGATGAAAGCTTGAGAGTCTCAAGGGGGGACTTGTGAAAGATTATGACGTAATCAAAACAACTGGTAGTTTTTCTTTATGTTTCATTACAGCAATGCGAACTGGCGAACCCTTATTTCAACCTCATATCATCGGTGTTTTCATTCTTCATCCCTTGCATAGCAATGATCATTCTCTATACTATCATTTTCCGGAGGTTACGGCAACGTGAACGCGCTCGGAGCCTACGGCAAGCTCAAAAGAGTGAGACCGACAAGGTACTCTAATGACTCATTAATTTTTGATTCGCAAGCATTATCTGTTTCTAGATCAGCTCAGCGCTGCTCGGCGGCGCGCAAATTGCCCGCCAAATGGGCAAGCATTTCAAAAATCGCACCGACCAAATCCTTTTGGAGATTAGTTTTCAGGTAAGCCAATTTCCTTGTTGTCTTATTTTTTTCAACTGCTCAATGAGCGTGACGTTGTCGGCTTATTCAATGAACTGATCGACAAACCTGTCAGATTCACAAAACGCGTTTTTTTGGAATACGAAAATGGCTGTGGTTGACAACCACAATAAGCGAATGCAAACGAATAAGCGGTGTCGCGATTTTCAGACATCCTCGTTTCCAACCATGTCGGATTCATCGGATGAGGGGTCTACGATTTCACCATCATTTAATCACATTCTTCCGAAAAAGGTGGCATATCCAACGACATCGATTCCCGCGATTCCTGAAGCAGGATCAATGCCAAATCTTACCTTAATAGACAATAAAGGTGAATAATCTGAAACCGAAATTACGCAATCATAGATATTGAATTGTAGAAGAAGATGATAAAAAGAAGGAGATATCGTTTATGGATTTACATGAGACTGTTGAATTGTTAGATGACAAATGCTCATCAGCGATATTGGCCAGGTACAAGATTTTAATTACATTTTACTAACTATCACAATTAATTATTAGCTTTCGATCGTTTGGGGAAGAACTGGAAGAGATTCTACCATTCATAGATGGTACGAATAGCACAAAAGAATCTCGCGAGCAGCTTCATTCAACAAGGTAAACATGATAATCCATCTGGAATCATATATAGCGTTCAGGTCAAATCCGGGTACTAATACACGCCATCTTGACGTAAAACCAGAAATACGGAGTATCAGCGTGCCCAGTATTCAAGACGAAAAGAAATTGAGCGAAAGATTGACGGAATCGAAAATGGAAAGTACGCGGAATTCGAATGAAAAACGAAACGGGTCGATCCACACGAATCAAGTAATCAGAGATTCGTCGGCCAAATTGAGTATATATTTGTGCATATTTCCAGCTTCCATGCCCTGGTATTCTGATGAAGAGCAAGTCAACGACATTGCTAAAAACGAATGGATTTGTAAATAGCAATGAGTCAATGCGAGTTTCGCCCAAAAAAAGTCTCGCCGATTTATTGACAAATGAGGAGTACTCATTTTCGGATTCTGTAAGAGTCTACAAGAATCGGCTATTTAAAAGGCAATTCTAAATGCATGAGGCTTAAAATTAATGGAAAATTTTCAGTTTGAGTCGAGCTACTAGTGGCTGGTCGAAGCCTCGCCCAACTCGGCATATTGTCAAAAAGGCGACCAAGCAAATGAGACGGGAGCATAAGGCTACAGTAACGCTAGCAGTTGTCTTAGGTAGCTTTGTTGAAATGTGTATAGCTGATATATAATAAATGTTTCAGCGGTATTCCTAATTTGTTGGCTCCCATTCTTTATTCTCCACCTTACCAATTCAATTTGCTTAATTCGAGATGGCAACAATAGTTGCATCGGGTTACTTCCACTATATCTCGCAACATGGCTCGGCTAGTAAGTGTATATATATATATATATGTATTTATACATAATAGCTTACTCAAATAGCTTCAAAAAAAAGCCGCTGACGTGAATGAATGAAGTGCGGCTCCACTTAAACTAATTTAGCTAAACCAATTGTGCATAATGCACGTTTTTTTGTTTCTGGATGAGACTAGCTAATCATTTTTCAAATTTGCAGCCTCAATTCCTCGTTGAACCCGCTTATCTATACGGTTTTTGATCAGCGATTCCGGAACGCTTTCAGGAATATTTTGTCTTGTGGTTTGGCCAGGAAGCATTGATGATCTCCAGCGAATCTCTTCAAATTGATTTTGTGATGTGTCATGATTTTTTGCATCGGTCTATTGCCATTCATAATTTGTTCATTGAATAAATCTATACAAATAATGAAGGTGCAGACTTGAAGACGAAATGCAATATATGTCTCGAAATGTTTGCATAGTGAACAATTGTGTTAAGGTCATTTAAATCAACATGGTTTATATACTTTAGTGCCAGTCATTGACATCAATGGTTAGAACACGCAAGGCAAACGGCTGTCTTCATTTGAACTAGATCGTGTTACCATTGCTCTTCTATTCATATTCACCGACCAGATTTTGATATAGGAAGTCAACAACAACAATTCACACTACTTTGAGCTCGCATTTGAAAGGATCATTAAACGATAGAACAAAAGTAGAAAACGTTTACATTTTAAAATATGAATTTGTGCATTTGTGATCTTTGGTGTAAAGGATTGGATTACTGTACTCAAATAACTGAAAATATAGATTGATGTTTGAAGCAGTCTAATTTTATAGAAGTCTTGATGGACAAAAGTGACACCGAGTTTTCAAAAAAAAATTCTATAGAGAAATCCTTGAAATGCTTAATTTATCTTTTAATGTATTGAGCTTCAAATTATTTTTAGGTCGGTTTTGATGTGAATCCATTAAATGTGATATTCAATATAACTTCTGAAGCGAAGTTAATGCAAGTTCGTATTGAAATAATATTCATATATTAACAAATAATGAATATCCCGTACAATGCCAATATGATGTGCAACTCTCCCCAGTCCTTCTAAAAAAGGGCCTTCCATCGGAATCGATCAAGCCGGAGACGCCAGTGGTGAGTGATGTTTCCTCAACACTCATAACCGTATTTCCTCCGAAATTTCAACCACTTTTTTGAAAAAAGTGAGAAGTAACTGAATTTTTGAAGCACTAAAAAGTGCTTATTTTCATTAATTTTTATGCATTTTCAACCAATTTTTTGTTGAGATGTCGATTTCATTTTTCATTTTCAATTTTCATGCTTAAATACACAAAAATGTGTCATTTTCACACTTTAAAAAAATCAGTGGATGTCGATTTCTAAAAGAAAATGGTATTATCTCTGAAGATAAAAAAATAAGGCTAATTTTTTATACAAGTGTTTTTATTTAGAAACGTTTACCCGAAAACATACAAACGAGAGAAATATGAATAGTCACATTTACGGTTTAAAAAAATAGAAGATAAAATAATAAGCAGAATCTTCAGTTGGAGTCATTTTCAGAACCACGAAGCGACGTTTCCGGCGAAACCACGTCGTACAGTCGATCCATCAGCTGCTCTCCTCGAGATAAGACTCTAGCTTCATCTGCATTTGCTCCAGGACCTATAAAACAAAATAAATAAAATATAAAACATTATTAAAATATATGCAAAAATACCCAGTTCAGCAATGTCCGCGAGAATGCAAAGAGCGTTGATCTGTCGTTCCAGTCGGAGTATGATTTTCAATGTCGCGGAACGCTAAATACAATAGTCAGTTGTTAATTGAGTATGTATACATTTTTTTTTAATCTATTAGTCAAATATTATAATATATTGTTAACGGAATAATAAAAAGAAACATACTTTGTCAACATTGGGCGAGAGAATGCTGGGATCTTTGTGGCCACGAACTAAAAACAATTTTTTTTTTGATAATTCCAGGTAAAGTTTTAAATTTATCAAGTAAGAATAATGCTTTTAAAGTTGTCGTAAAGGAAAGCAAAAAGTTGAGAGGTTTCGCATACCTGATTGTCGTCGAAATAGACCATCAATTTCCTCAATGCTCTCGATAAGAGCATCGTTATAGACTTCCTGCGTGTCCATATCCATTCCTTTATACCATCTAAGACATATAAATTAAATAATAAAGCAAAATAAAAGTAAAAAAAAATAATTGGAAATCAAATTCTCACTTTTCTTTGATGTAAGAACTAACTTCTCTGAACTTTCTATAAAGACGGCGAGCATTTTCCTGAAAGTGTTCATTTAATAGTAAACAAGCAGAAAATTAAAGTTTAACTTACCGATACAAAACGTCGAGACATGCTAGAAGCTCAGAGGCTGGACTCTCTAAACACATTCGATTAATTCGAGAGAGAGGGAAAGTACAGTGCTCCACATAATTATACGGTCAATTGATTTTTTCTCAAAATTTCGAAAATTTTGAAAGTTTCGGGAAATCTTCCCATTGAATAATTATCCACATTTAGCAGCATTTCATCTGTTTATAACAAAAAATTACAAAAATAATTGTACATAATCTTATCATAAAATTAACCAAAATATTGAAAATTTTTTTCCACATAATTATACGGTCAGTAATGAGATATGATGCAAAACGATTCAAAAACGTAAAAATAAACAAAGAACAATTCTTAATAATCAACTGTACCACCATTGCATCTGACTATATCAAAAATACGGTTATCCATTGATATATATAGATTATCAAGAAGTGTTTGATCAACAAGTTTCCATGAAGCGATAATCGCTTTTTTGAGGTCCGAAACATTGTCATAACACTTGTTACCCTCATAAATTTTTCGTACCATAAATCCCCACAAATTTTCGATTATGTTCAAATCAGGAGTACAAGCGGGCCAATTCAAAATTGGGATCTTTCTGTCATTTAACCATTTGATTGTTCGACGAGCACGGTGACACCGCGCTCCATCTTGCATAAAAATAAGCTGGCGGTTGCGATTTCGGTGCCAAAATGGCATCAAACCACGCCTCAGTGTATATCTGTAGTCGGAGCCACTCATTTTTTTCGAAACAAAGCATAATTTGATGCGACCGTGTGAACTGATTGCGGCCCAAACCATTACACCTCCTCCTTTAAAGTTTCGGCGGGAATAACGCAGTTTCTGCTTACGAAGATCGTGCCAGTAATTGCGGAATCCATCTGGTCCATCGCAGTTAAACTTTTTTTCATCGGAAAAAATAACCTGACATATGAAACCAAATTTAAAGAGTGCAGCTGCAATCCTAACCTGAGTCCAATCAGTATGCTGATTCTTTTTGGCGAATTGCAATCGATTTTCTCTGTGGATTCGGGTCAGCATTGGTCCTTTCCTCATTTTCCTGTTTTTAATAAACATGCTCTTGCTTAAAACCCGTCGGACGGTTTCATTGGAGACGGGAAGTTTGAGTTCGCTTCTGATTTTTGAACAGGAGATGACTGAGTTTGATGCTCTGCGTAGAATTCTACGCTTTTCTCGGTTCGAAAGGAGAGATGGGCGGCCAGTAGACTTTTTCGTGCCATATTCTGCTGGATTGGCCGCATATCGAGAAATTACGTCTTGCGAACGGCCCATATCTCTCGAAATTTGACGATGAGAGAGCCCTTGGGCTAATTTAGCGTCAATTTGACCTTTTTCATACTCTGTGAGCTTTTTTCCTCTACTCATACCTAGAAAACAATAAACGTTTATTTAAAAAATTTTCGAGTACATGAAAATTGAAAAAAAAATTGAAAAAAGGTCAAAAAATAAAAGTGACCGTATAATTATGTGGATTTTTTTTTCGCACTTTTTCGAAAAAAATGAAAAAAAATTCGTTGGTCATGTTAATTTCGTATTTGCTTCAGGACCCAAACTGGATGGTTCGGGATATTCCTTTTGCTACCAAAACAAAATTGTATTCCCATATAGCAACTCCGTTTTTGTTATTTTTGTTGTTGACCGTATAATTATGTGGAGCACTGTATTAAAAGTTGTTAACAAACTCAAAGCTGCGGAGAAAATAACAATGATATTCACTGATGTGAAATCACGCAATTAATACGAACACAGAAGCAAAAGAAAAATTTTTCTATTCACAAAGGAAGGATGTGATGTTGGCGTCTCTCAATTTCCTCTGCGTCTCTGCCTTCCACTCTAGCCCAATGAGTTTGCGTCACGCGTCGCGTGCGTGTGTTCAACTGGGGCAAATGTATGACTGTGCTCGGTCAGAGTTAGGAAGAGAAAAGAAGGTCACACAAAGAGAAAGGGAGCACTGCTGACTTTTATAGGTCACACCAAAGGATCTGTAAGACATTCATCTAGTGAAGGAAAGAACAGAAGGAGAAAGAGAGAACTCGACGAATTTGGTCTCACTCGAAACTTCTTGAATGTGCTGGCAAACAGGTATGAAAGGACAAAGTGTCTTATTTAAGAACGATTTGCGTCGCAGAATTTCTTCAGTTTTTGTGTTGTTATTTCATTTTGAAGATGTTTTTCAAGCAAAGTTCAATATTTTCTTATAAGATGGAGGATGCTTCTCGTGTCAAGGAAACGATCAATGATAAAAGGGTTATGCCAAGATTGTAATACAATAAAGTGTAAGCTAATTCCGACAATCACAGGAGGTTCTGGATTAGAAGATATCAAAGAGGTTGAAATTAGTGAAAAATCTAAAATTCTTAGACAATCCACAAACACTTCTAGGAAGCTTGCTTTCGCTGAAGGTGAAAGAGATCTTCTAGAAAAATCATATTATTCTTCTAAAACAGGATTTTGTGGCATCAATGAGTTATCAAGAATAACAAAGAAGCCTATCAAAAGATGTCAAAGAGTTCCTGAATCAGAAGGATGTTTATACAGTGTGGGAATTGAGGGTGTGCGCAAACCCCGGCCTTGTGGGCCATATTCCCGATTCTTTCCATGTTCATGGATTCGTGTTGGAAACAAACAATAAACAACTAAGAGTTTATTTATGAACGATGGAATGAGTAACGAAATAGTGTGGACTTAAAGCGTGTCTCCCAGCTTCCTACCTCCTCGTTCGTTTCCCGAGCATCGCTTAAATAGGGGGTGAGCTGATGACATTGATAAAGGTCTTGGATTATTGCTTCCTGTCGGAGGGTTGATTAAATATATATTAACCTCCTTCCGGTCGCTGGTCGACCTGATTTTGCCCCTATGACTCACTTACAATACTTTACATAAGCCAGCTCGTAAGAACTTCAAGTGTCAAAGAGTTTACTTTGATCGCATAGA